AGGTGCCCCCGACAAAAAAAAAAAATTTTAATCCATGACCCCGAGATCAAGAGTCACATGCTCTACCAACTGAACCAGCCAGGCGCCCCAAAACTAATTTTAAATAAAAGGGAAAAAAAGACCCACAGAGGGAACCAGAAGCCCCAGCCTAGCTCTGTAGTAGTGAAGGTCTACAGCCAGTCAGGCAGGATTTGCTCACCACAGGCCCTAAAGGGCATTCACACTACAGGCCGGGCAACGTGGCCCTCCCCCACGTCCCCCAGGGCAGACCCAGGCTACCGAGAACTCCCTCTGTGGCCTGGCATTCCCCTGCCCCTCAGCACAGTGGACCACCCCCAGCGGATGGTGCAGTCCAGGCCTGGCGAGGACTCCGGGGCTCACCAAGGGTCTTCCCCCAGGTGCCCACAGGTAAGAAACCAGACCAGTCAAAGAAGGGGGACGGGGAGGCAGAAAGAGAGAAGGCAGAGGAAGGCTTCTCCACCCACTGCGTTCGCTTCCTAGATCCGAGCCACCTTCTGTTTTTACATTTTTACAAGAAAGACAACTTCACAACTTCTAGCAAGTCCTGCCTCCTAGAGTGAGAGACTCATCCTTTCAGCACAGATGGAACATTTGGTTGGTAAAAAGAAGATATGGCAGTGCCAGTGGACCACAGCTGAACGGAAACTCAGAACTGACCACTGCTCCATACAGTTGCCATAGGACACGTGTTGAGGGGGTGCTCTTTTCTCAGTGACCCCTGTGGCCTGGGCAGGCTCTCGTTACCACAAAGGACACGGCTCAACAAAAAGGCGTCGTAAAACACAGAGGGCATTGAGGTAAGAAACAAAGATAATTAAAGGGCCTGCAGTAGGAAAGCAGTTTTGTTCAGCCTCATGGAGAGAAAAGGCCAAAAGGCCATTTTTCAATGTGTTTATGCAAAGATTTTATGAGGCGGCCACGGTTCACTGGCTCTCTGTGTTAGCAGAAGGATAAACATGAACAAACGGGCTTAAGGTTAGGCATAAATGCTCGCTGTAGGGCAAAAGAACAGCTTTGCAATTCTAATCGGGGACACCTAGCAAACGGACTCTTCACTTTTTCTTGGCCCGCCCTTGTTCAGCCATGGTTTCCACTGTTGAGATCCTATCCGATGATCTGTGTTGGTCTTTTTTCTCGCAAGCTGCTCCACAGTCTGAACAGTTACCTGGCCTGCAGGTGGCGTGTGAATCTAGTGGGCCCACTGCTGCTTTCCCACCCCTGGTTCTGCTGCTTTCCAGTTTTCACCATTACCACTGAATGTCTGGTGCGTATTAGGCCGTGGCTGCCCCCATGAGAGGAACCTTCTAGAAGAGAAGGTGAGGGCACCGCATGGCTTCTGAAGTGTATCCCAGGTTGCTTAAGGAAGCATTTGCTGGTAGAGGAGACGCCCCATAAATGTTGAAGAAACGAACGACTGATCACTGGCAAGTGTGACTGCCATTGCCGAGCTAAGGACAGACAGCAACCTGCAGGATGCATCCAGGCCCTGCCATCCTGGTCTCTGCCTGCGGTTACTATCTTCAACCTAAGACCACTTCGTACCCCTGCGGGCCGCCGGTAAGTGTCAGACTAGTCCTCCAGAATTCGATCTAGGTTTTAGAACCTTATGCACAGGGCCTTTAAACAAGCAGTTTGGGAGGCTTCAACTTGGGTGAGCCTTTCGTTGGCTGGGGAAGACCACGAAGCTTCTCAGAGTTTGGAGATCTGAGTGTTGGGAAGGCGGGGGTCTAAGAAGACAGCTGCAGACAGGAAGTGACTTCGGAGACCCGGGCCCCGCGCACAAAGGAAACTGTCTTACTGCATCACATCACGCAGCACTTCTCACAGTGTGTTTTCCAGAGTTAAAAACACAAGCGCGAGCCAGACAAACCTAACCTGAGACTATAATTCTGCCATGTGGAAAACAAGCCTTCATAGAGTCGTTTAAACTTCTTACCCGCATTCCGTACAATTAAGCTTGAGAAAACATTCTATCTTTTGCATGTGATGGAAACCACAGGAAGAAAATAACTATATGCCAAAGTTGTGCACCATATGATTTTATGCTTTTGGTGTTATGTTAAAAATAAATAAATAACACAATACAACACATAAATAAAGCCTTTGCTTTAAACTACTGACCTGGGGGTGCCTGGGTGGCTCAGTCGATTAAGTGTCTGACTCTTAATATTGGCTCAGGTCATGATCTCACGGTTTCTGGGATGGATCCCCAAGTGGGGCTCCATGCTGACGGACAGCATGGAGCCTGCTTGGGATTCTGTCCCTCTCTGCCCCTCCCCCGCTTGCATGTTTGCTTTCTCTCAAAATAAACATTAAAAAATTTTTTTAAAGGGGCACCTGGGTGGCTCAGTTGGTTAAGCATCCGACTTCAGCTCAGGTCATGATCTCACTGTTCAGAGTTCGAGCCCGGTGTCAGGCTCTGTGCTGACAGCTCAGAGCTTGGAGCCTGTTTCAGATTCTGTTTTCCTCTCTCTCTCTGCCCCTCCCCTAATACTCTCTCTGTCTCTCTCTCAAAAATAAACTTTAAAAAAAAAAGGGGGGGAGGAGGTGCCTAGGTGGCTCAGTCAGTTAAGCATTTGACTTCGGCTCAGGTCATGATCTCGCGGTCCGTGAGTTCGAGCCCCATGTCGGGCTCTGTGCTGACAGCTCAGAGCCTGGAGCCTGCTTCGGATTCTGTCTCCCTCTTTCTCTGCCCCTCCTTCACATTCTCTATCTCACTCTCAAAAATAAATAAACAAACATTTAAAAAAATTTTTTTTTTAAAGAAAAAAATTATTTCCACTCAATGGAGAAGAAAGAGGGGTGGCCCTCCCTGCGTTCTCACTCTGAATCCTGGCATCTTCACCTTCTGGGACAATTCCCTGAAGGGATGTGAGTCAGGGACTTTGGAGTCAACAGGTGACATGGCCCTTCTCAGCGCCCGCAGTTTGGCCCAAGACTGACTCCTGTGCTGAGGAATGACTCAGAAGGAAGGTGGTGGCCTGGCAGCCAGGAGTCAGGTCAGAGGCTCTGCTTCATCACCCCAGATGCCACATTTGGGGGGCATCTGCGTCCTGAGTTGGGCCAAACTGAGCAAACCCGAATCATTGCAAGAGTCCTGCTCAAATCCTTCAGATTTTCCAAAGTCTTGAGGGGTGCCCAAGGTGGGAGCACACAGGGGTACTTCTCTCCCCGCATACTGAAGCCATTTTGATTACCCTTGGGGACTGCCTGGGGACCATCCTTGGCAGCCAGCCTGTCTGCCAGTGGGGCCTAGAGGGAGTGCTTTGCTCCCTGAAGCATCATAGCATCTCGACAGCAAAAGCCCATTTTGCAGGCCACGTTCCCCACCACGTGTCTGCACTCACCATGGCGAAGCCTGACAGCAGGGCAGAGGTCCGGCTGGAGGCCTTCAGCTTGGCTCTGCTCAGGTAGAGCTTCCTCCAGGAGAGCGCCTGCACAGAGTGGTGGTTGGATGTGACCAGTTCCAGGTAGCTGCGGCGGACCCAGTCCCGGTAATCCATGCCCTTGTGGCCGGGTTCAGAGCAGGCAGGAGTGGAGGGGTCCACAGGCACGTTGAGCTCGGCGCTCATGGTGGGAGCCAGGCTGGGGGCAGGAGGCAGATACTCTCAGGCATCCCAGAGGGTTCCTGGGACCTGGAAAAGCCAGAAGCCAAGCAAGTTGACCTTCTCTGGGACCTGCTGTCTATACCTGACACTGGGGGGTAGTGGGAGTATGGGACCCTGATCCCTAACACAGGACCGTGGGGACCATCTGTGGGAGAGGAGGGTCAGGAGTACACTTCCAGGAACCACCACAGTGTCCACTGTGCCTCCCTCCACAAAGCTTCCATCCCTTCCATCCCTATGTTAGACGGCCTTCCATCACTATGTTAGAAAGGCTCCAGTCAAATGTGGGTGAATGGAATTCTAAGGTCAGCCCCAAAGCACCTAAGGAACCTTCCAATCTGTTGCTATCCTCAGGGAATAGGGAGCTATAGCATTTACAGAGACCCTAGGACCTAGTGGCTAGGCCTGGATTTTATTTATTTTTTTTTTTCTTTTTTTTTCAACGTTTTTATTTATTTTTGGGACAGAGAGAGACAGAGCATGAACGGGGGAGAGGCAGAGAGAGAGGGAGACACAGAATCGGAAACAGGCTCCAGGCTCCGAGCCATCAGCCCAGAGCCTGACGCGGGGCTCGAACTCCCGGACCGCGAGATCGTGACCTGGCTGAAGTCGGACGCTTAACCGACTGCGCCACCCAGGCGCTTCTAGGCCTGGATTTTAATCTACCATGTGATCTTGAGCACGACATCTGAACTTTCTGACCTTGTGCATCTTCAGATGGGGGACATCCCCACCCTTACAAGGCTCTTAAACAAAATAACAGACCCAAAGACTCAAAACTGCTTTTCAGTGTCTAGGGTCCAACCACAAGAAAAAAAAAAATAATAATTCCAAACAGCAGCTAATTTCTCAAATCCAATTTAAATTTTAATCAGCGCAGTTCACCCCCCAAAATACCTGGTTTATATAACTGAAGGAAAAGCCACATCCAGGCTGTGGTGGAAACCCTGAGCAAAAGGAAAAGCTGAATCCACCAACTGACATGAGCACATGTTACAGAGAAACGGAGACCAGAGATCTCTGCGGTCATCCCAGGTAGATATCAGGTTTGACAATAACACGGAATTAAGATCAGAAGAGCCGATCTGTCAAGACTTGTGAATTTAAACCCAAATCTCCACTAATCCAAATAGGGGATTGGCGGTCTCATGTGGCCCAAGGGACCGGCCCGCGCAGCAGCACGCCAGGATCGGTTCTAATTAATCTGCAGGGCAGACTTCAAGGGCATCGGCACCTCGCAGCTCACTTGGCATCAGATGTGAACTTGTATGTTCAGGCCCGCATAGGCCCCACAAAAAGCCAACTTAAGGCTATTACAAACAGATCAGTGTTTCTAGGTCCCAGGGAGCAGAGCTGGGGGTGGGTAAGTGGTAGAAGGGGTGTTTACCAGGGTCAGTGGCTGTGGAAATGCCCCAAACTTGATCTATCCACACCAATCTCTGAAAGGGTTCTATGGGAGGGTCCTAGAGGTGGAGAAGAGCTTTCTCTTTTGGGGTGCCTTCCTCTTTGTTCTCTACTAGGCTGCAGAGGTACAGCTTTTACTGGCCAACAAGACCCTGGGGAACAGTTCTGTGTTCTCCTATTTCTGCCAGGGGATACCAATTACTAGGTCGTTTCTAGGAAAGTTGGCTTGGGAGCCCTGGTCACTGCCCCATGCCCCTGTCTGCAGCCAGAAGCATTGCTTTCCAGCTCTTCAATCACTGGACCGTCCCTTCCTTCGGGGAGAATTAAGAGAAACGTTGCTCACTAACTAATCCATTGGTTAGCACCAAATAATTTAGAATGGCGTCATTTGGAAATTGACTTTTCCTCTTTTCTTTATCCATACATAACAGAAGCCAGCCAACAGGTATGAGGAAGACAGCATATGGCAGGTGGATGGGTGAAAGGCACAACCTTTGCCCTCACAGAGTATCCATCTCTCCATTCTCCATCCAAAAGACACTTCTTACTGGGCTTTAAGGTCAGACTGCATTTGGTACTTAGGCATCAGAGATGAAAACGGTGAGGATCCTGTGAGTTGGGTGGGGAAGCAACATAAGGGGGGGGGATTTTCACCCAACGAGCTAAATGCTGCTTTCGTGGAGGGGGTGTGAGGACAAAGGAGCAACTTTGGGCAGGGAGAAGGTCCCTGCTAGGGAGCAAGGACAGGAGTCAAGGGCATAGGTAGTAAAGGCAGTACTTGCAAAGAGGGACCCTCCCTCAAAGACGAGATTCTGCCCTCATGGGAGGGTTCTGAGAGGCAAGGGACGTGGCAGGAAGGCTGGCTGCAGAGGGAGTCAGGGAAATGTAGGTGGAAAGCAGGATGTGGTAAGTGTGTGGAGCCCAAGGCAGCCCCGGCAGTGTGACCGTGCTGGACTCTATGGTGGTGCCAGGCTGCAGGGGCTTTGAAGGAGCTACTGAAGGGAGCAGCAGCCTGGGGTCGGTGTGGTCTGGGTGGTTGTCCGCTGAAATGTTTGGCTGCCTGGGAGGAGCAGGAGGACCTGGTTGCCTCCAAAGGGTGAAAAGACAAGCCCAGGGGCCATCAGTGGGCCTGGGCTGGGCTCAGGTCGGAGGGTGGAGAGGGAGGGCTTTGGGGGCCATGAGGGCCGACACTGGCCTCTGGGTAGTGCCCGGGCAGTCTTGGCCCTGCAGATGTCCTCTGAGTGGCAGGGAGTGGAAGGAAGGGCAGGCTGTCCGTCTGCTTGGAGCCTGGGTCTTGAGGCAGGCCTGTGGGTCCTGGAGATAGAAAGGCCACTTCCTGCTGAAGGTGTAGCCTGGACTGGATTCATATCCCACCTAACTGTCCCAGTCCAGGTGTCCTACCTTCTGCCAGGCCTCCTCCCCCTGCCCCAGGAGAGGCAGAGTTCTCACACTCTGGGCTGGGGTAGCGGTGGGGTAGGACAAGATGAAAACTGACATCTCTGTCGGGTGACAGAGGCTTCAAAGGATGCCCTCCTGGCTAAACTTCACGGAGGCTTTTTTGTTTGTTTTTTATATGTAAGGAGCAGTCAGAAAAAAAAGCTCTTGAAGAATAATGGTGTCTCTAAAGATGAGCTATTTCTTCTCCTTGGCAGGCCTGCCTGAAACATTTCTAGGCGGTAGGTTTGGGGTTTGCCTGTCCTAACTTCCTTTAAACATCTGGGGCATGAGCAATGGCGAGTCTGACTCTGTCACACCCGCGCGGGGCGGGGGCGCAGGGGCCCCCGCAGCCTCCACAGGGTTCTCCCAGAAGCGTCTTCCTGTATCTCTGTCCCTTCCCCTAGGAAAGCCTCAGTAGAAGCAGGACCCGCACTCGGCCCCTGTTCTGGACTTCCAAGTCTTCTCAGCGCCGCACTCCTCCCAAGGATCCCTTAGGGTTGGGGTCACCTGGCCACCCTCCAAATCCGCAGCCACGCCATCCCAAACCAGCCCAGGAGAAAGCCCACCCCCTCCCCCGCGTCGAGTCTCCCATTGCAATTTTGGTCCCCCAACAGGGCGGGGTACCTCCCCCCCCCCCCACTCCGCCAACCGCCCCCCACGGCCAGCACTCACCGAGCTGCCCTGCCTGCCGGCCGGCTCCGCTCCCACTCAGGCTTGTGGCATGCGGCGTGGCCGTGTTGCCCTGTGGCCCCGTGGCCCGTCCGGGGCGCTGAGCACGGCCCCCTCCCTCCTTCCGTGAGTCCCGCCGGGTCCCCCCCTCCCCGGCCCCGCCCCCGCGGGCTGCCCCACCCCCGCAGGCCACCGCAGCCGCTGCCAAGGCAACGGCGAGCCGCCGTCACGTGGCTGGCCCTTGGGGGCGCTACGGACCACGTGATCTGGCTGGCCGGGAGGGGAGGGGAGGTGAGGGGAGGGGCGGGACTCGCTGCCCCTCCTGCCTTACACCCCGGCTTCGGGGATCCGTTCTAGCCAGGACCACCCGGCCGGAAGCCGGGGAGCGGAAACCGGTAAAAGGTGCGCATCTCTCCCGTTTCCCCGGCGGGCGTGCCGTGGGCCACAGTGCACTCGGATTGGCGCTGCCGCGAAGGGGGCCGGAAGCCTGGGCATCCCTCGCTTTCACCATCCTCCCTTCCTTTTCCCCCCAGCCGCGCGGGCGCCCGGCCCTGACGACGGAACACAGGACGATGTGGTAGCGCTTCTCTGGGTCCCTGGATCTGGACAACAGGTCCAGGACAGGGTGAGCCCTGCTCGGCCCGAGTGCGTGGGTCTGAGTAGAGGAAGGGAGCACAGAATCCCCAGGGTGAGCCGCAAAGGATGCCCAGGACTGGCTGTGGGCCAGGTGGAGGGCTGGGGAGAGACCAGAAGGGCACGCCCCGTGGGGAGAGGGAACAGGTATCCCATTACCAGGCCACAGGGCGGGTGGGTGTGAGGTGAGTGCGGTAAAGGGCTGGAAGGTGAGGCTCTATTTGGTAAGGGTTCAGGCAGCCACACCCGCTCGCCAGGGTGGACCCTGGCACTCCATAGAGTGTGCAGGAGCTGGTCAGGTGGTCATCCGCCGCACCCCCTACCCACAGGCCCAGGGAGACACTTGGGGTCCTAGGCTGGGTGCAACTTGCTGGGCCCCTGATAGACCTCCACCAAGCTGTTATACTGAGATCTAAAACAGGAACGTTTTTCAGGAAGTGCACACGATAAGAGGCAGGATGGGTTCATATCAACCCCTGTGCCAGAGGGCCCCTCACAGTCCTTCCTCACAGTCCTTCCTGCGTGCCCTACATAGGATTTTTCCATCTGTCACAACAGCATCTGACAGTGACACATTTATCCAAATGAAAGAAAAATTCCACTCGTGTCAACCAGTCCAAGTTTTCTGACAATTGTTAAGAGGAGAGGTTAACGGATGTCAGGCCAAATCCATTAATCTCTCAAGGCGCATTTTAGAGGCCATTGCTGAGAGCCAGAACGACACCTTTTAATCCAGGAAGACAAAAACAGACCACAGCATAGGGAAATCCCAGGGTCTGATTACCGACCTTCCCCCATCAACACACACACATTATAGATGGCTATAGGAAAGGGATCATCTGAATTTCACAGGGCAAAATCCTCAAAAAGCAACAGCTCTTTGTAAAATAATGCGGAAAACAGGAAGACGACACTTGGTAAACTAGAGTAATTGCATCACAGATGAACATTCTTTCCACAACAGAGTCACTTGCTTAAGTTCTCACCGTTGGAGTCTGATCTGACTGCACATCCTTTAGAAGGCTTTCGGTACTAGTCAGTGATGCCTCCACCCTCAAGCACATTTATCCAGCATGTCTGGACAAAAGGAAAATCTAAGTCATAATTACCTGTGCTTTTCAGAGTCCATTTCCTAACCAAACACAGAAAATGGCTCCCCCCCACCCCCCGCCTAGACGAGTAAGGAAGGTGCTGGCACCATGCTGAAAGGTGGTGCAAATTACAATACTAATAGTTGGAGGGCCCCTCAGGTGCACAGGTAGTTGAGCGTGAGTTACACAGAAGTGAGGGAAAGGCCCACAGGGACCAGCCACCCAGTTGGGATGTCTGGGTGACAGTCTGGGCTGTGATTTCCCTAGCTGTTTGGCCATGGCAAGTTGCTCCCTTGCCCAAGGCCTCAGTTTGAAAAAGACCAGTTCTTGGAGGCACATCCCGGGGGCCTATCGCGTTCATCTTCCCCATCAATGCATACCCTTATTCAGCTAAGACTGTGGCCCTACTGTCCCCTTCCCTGAGTCTTCTCATCCAGAGGGACTCTCAGCTGCCCTGGACTATGTAACCAGTCCGGACAGTTCTGTCCCCTTGGCCATATGGCCGAGTCCTCGTCACTACCCCTTGTGAGATCTTCAGTTCCCATCTCTTGCTTTCTGACCCTTTCTCACCCAGTCCTCAGCCGACCGCCTCGCTTCCTGGACTCTGCTGAGACCCGCTTTTTGCCCCCAGCCTCCTTTGACTCAGCCTGAGCCCTCGCAACCTCTCCTTCCACCACGTTCCACTTCACGCCCAACTTCTCAAGTGACCTGTCCTTACCATCTCCTTCTCGGCCCCTCTGCAGCTGCCTGCCAGCATGGTGCTGACTCTGGGACAGATGTCAGCCGTGCCCTTTTCTGTCTTTGGGAACCCGTCGTTCCAGCTAGGAACATCTCTTTCCTTGTTCTGGTGACCTCACCTTTTTTTTTTTTTAAACCTTTGTGCAGTCTCCTCCTCTTCTGTCCCCTAGATGTGGATGTCTCTCCACTTTCCCCTGACTGGTTTCATCCATTCCCCTTGTGCCAAGCAGCCTGTTGACTCCAAATGGTCACCCCAGCCCGGCAGGGTGTGGCCCAAGGGCCCCCACCTCACCATGCTCACAGTTGAATTCCCCATTTTCCTTCACATGCCTGCTCTACGTCCTGGGTTACCTGTGTCAGGAAGTCCCAGCAGCTACGCAGCTGGTGACATTACAGATCTGTTATTAATGATTACTCCCATCCCCATCCAGTCCTGTGAAGTCTCCCATTTGTCTCCACAGGTCTCAGACTAATTCAGGCCCTCGTCACCTCTGCACTGTGTTACTGCAAGTGCCTTCCACCTGTCCCCTTCCCATCACTACAAAGTGGCAAATTCCCGTCTCTCCCTGCCCCCACTGAGCCCTTCAGTTTTCCCTGGGGCCTTAGATCAACTCAGTCCCCTCACCTAGTGACTGAGGGCCATGACAGGGCATCTGCTTCTCCTCGGCTTGGTTTCTTAGAACTCCTGCATTACTGGAGCTACCCAGGAGCTCAGCTCAGACCTGCCCTCATCCCGGAGCTGGGTCATGCCACGCTGTACTCTGTGCTGTGTGCAACTGTGCTGACCTTTTTCTTGTCTGTGTCTTGCTCAGGATCTGGAGCTCCTTAAAGGCAAGGCCTGTGTCTTGCTCACCATCGTCCCCACTGCTGAGCCAGGTACACTCAGGAAACCTTCAGATTAAGCTTTCAGTCATGTTCAACAATTTGCTATATTCTGTGGAAAAAAACTGCTTCAAGGACACGGGGTGTTCTCTTGACTGAAATAAAATATCTGATGCTGACAGCTCACTTTAATCAAGTGTGCAAAGACCCAAATAACTTCCACAGGGAGGAGAGGCACCTGTCCTCACAACTCTCCTTCCATGCAGCCTCGAAACTGATTTAGCGATATTCCCATTCCCATTAGCCTCGGCTCCTCTAACTCAATTAAGTAACGCGCTTTTTCCAGAGGGTTAATGTGAAACTGAAGTAAGCTAGCAACAGTCCTTGATAGGTTAAACCAGTGTTTTCGAGGGCGGCCTGTGGCAGGAATCTGCTGAGATTTGTCCCAAATGCCTGAGCTGCCACGAGGTGGTCTCTGGGGCGCGGTCAGGAGTCCCAGATGTCAGAGGTGGGCTCCCGCAGTGGCCAGGAGCCATGGCACCAATGGCCTCAGCGAACAAACCGTGCGCCTGTTCAGGCTCTTTCTGCCATGTAGCCATTTTTCCGTATGAGCAACCTGCTTTCCGTCACAGATCTGCTCAGTCGCATTTATGTTTCCCGTGGTGTCTCGGGCACTGTGCTGGCACAGAGGTACAGCAGAGGACAGAACAAGGCCAGGTCCTTGCTCTCGTGGTGCTCTGAGGTGGGGAGGGGAGGGGTGCTATTGGGGCAGGGTACCAGACCAGTAAATGGGGATGGATGCTAGGAAGAGGAATGGAACAGAACAGGAGTGGGCGGAAAGCTGAGGGAGTCCCAGCAGCACAGGAAAAGGAGGCGAAACAGGGGAGTGGGGTACGGACCGACCATGCTGAGGCTCCAAAAGGGAACCTGAAGCCACAAACCCAGAACATCAGCGGATGGTGGTATTTGAAGCCGAGGTCAGGATTGAAGAATCTCCTGGGGCCTGGAGTCTGTCGATAAAGGCAGCGCCTGGGTCACCCAAACATTAGAGTTGTAGAGAAGCCAGCTAGGAAAGCCGGAAGAAAAGGCAGAGCAGCACTGTCAGATCACTGAGTTCAGGCTTCTCTACTGTGCAGATGCCTCCACGGGCTGGATGTGTGAGGTAAAACTGAGGAAGCTTTCAGTTTAGAGGTGGCTGCAGAGGCAGAAGAACTCTGGGATTTGGAGAAGGGAGGAGATAAAATAAGTGGTGGTGCAGGAGAGACTTCCTGGGAGCTTTGCTCTGTTACCACAAATGGGAGGCCCACTTGACTGGAGGTTGTTTGGGTGGGGTGGGTGGGGTGGGGTGGGGGACCAGTGGCTCCAGCGACAGGGAGGCTGACCAAGGCAGGAGTGTGTGGGGAAGTCCTGGGGCATGAGGGCTTGGCCTGAACTCTCTCTGCTCTGAGAGCTACTTTCGATGAAGAGGTGCTGTAAAAAGCACCTTTCAAATGTGGAGATGAGCCTGTTCAGGAGGACCTAAGGATAGAGCCCAGGGGGGGGTGCGGTTTGGTGGCCTGTGGTCTTACATGCCAAGCGGGGACTGAGGAGAGTTCAGCTCCTGATGCCCAGTGAATAAGCACCGTTCACGCAGGAACACACTAGTCAAGTCAATCCCTGCATTGCCAAACACTACTCAGGCCCAGGCTCACTCACATTTGACACATACATGCTCATTATTCCTGGTAGTTCCATTCTGCAAAGTCACTGTGAGCACTGAGTGTTAGTGACTGCCCATGCTTTACCATCTGGGGAAACATGGGACTTGGTCACGTCAACTGATGTTTTATGTGTTTGTTCTAAAAGCACACTCCTGGATTTGGGGGGTGGCTGGCTGGCTCAGTCAGCAGAGCAGGCTCTTGATCTCTCGGGGATGTGAGTTCAAGCCCCACACTAGCTAAAAGAGATTAGAATAAACTCTTTAAAGATAAAACTAAAAAAGCTTTCATTTATATTGATTAACAATAAACTTGCACATATAGCACTGTAACTCATGCCGGACAAAGCTTGGAAAGCACATCCCTGGCCTTCTTGCTCTTAGGACACTACATGCACTTTGAGCGCACTATGCTTCAGGGCCGTTTAAAACTAGCCCAAAATCGGAACCTGGGTGGCTCAGTCGGTTAAGCATCAGGCTGAAACTCAGGTCATGATCTTCCTTGGTCCGTGAGTTCCAGCCCGCGTCGGGCTCTGTGCTGACAGGTCAGAGCCTGGAGCCTGTTCTGTAATCTCCCTCTCTCTGACCTCCCCCCGTTCATGCTCGGTCTCTCTCTGTCTCAAAATAAAACGTTAAAAAAAAAAAAAAAAAAAAAGGCAAAAAATCAAGAAAAAAAAAAAAAGAAACTAAAAAACGGTTACTAAATGATGTGTTTGAGCTGAACAAGAAAAACAATGTTTTTCTTGAACTCAGCAGGAACAGGGCATTAGGCAACTCAAATTTCTCACCACTCTGTGCCTGCAAATGACCGACACCATGAGGTACTGATCTTGGGGTTACAAGCCCAAATGAACAGGAGACTTCACAAATGAGAACCTGTGAGTAAGGGCAACTATATTTAATTTTTTTAACGTTTATTCATTTTGAGACAGCATGAGTAGGAGGGCAGAGAGAGGAGACACAGAATCTGAAGCAGGCTCAGGTTCAGGAGCCCGTCCAGCAGAGCCCGATCAGGGGCTCGAGACTCACGAACTGTGAGATCATGACCTGAGCAATCCAGACGCTTAGCCTGGCTGAGCCACCCAGGCGCCCCTGGAGACAACTGGGCTAAAATTATCATATATAATCACATGTACGCACGTGAGCGCACGCACCAGGAGGTTATAAAAAACATGCCTTCCTCATCAGGAAATATAAATCAAACCACACTGAGATACCACCTCACGCTGCTCAGAGTGGCTAAAAGTAAAATCAGGAGACTATAGATGCTGGAGAGGATGTGGAGAAACAGGAACCCTCTCTTGCACTGTTGGTGGGAATGAAGCTGGTGCAGCCACTCTGGAAAACAGTGTGGAGGTTCCTCAAAAAAATTAAAAGTAGATCTACCCTATGGCCAACAATAGCACTGCTAAGGAATTTACCCAAAGGGATACAGGGTGCTGATGCACAGGGGCACTGTACCCCAATGTTATAGCAGCACTTTCAACAAAAGCCAAATTATGGAAGAGCCTAAATGTCCATCAACTAAGAATGGATAAAGAAGTATTAGTTTATATACACAATGGAATACTACTTGGCAATGAAAGAATGAAATATGGCCTTTTGGCAATGTGGATGGAACTGGGTGTTATGCTAAGTGAAGTAAGTCCTTGAGAGAAAGATATATATGTTTTCACTCTTATGTGGATCTGAAACAGAAGACCAGGGGGGGGAGGGAAGGGAAAAAAAAAAAGAGGGAGACTCTTAAAAACTGAGAAATAAACTGAGTTGATGGGGGGGGTGGGAGGAGGAAGTGGGTGATGGGCACTGAGGAGGGCACCTGTTGGGATGAGCACTGGGTGTTGCATGGAAACCAATTAGGCAATAAGTTTCATATTAGAAAAAAAAAAAGGCCTTCAGCCTATAGCTCCTAAGAGAGCAGTGCACGGGCACCCCTTGTCACTAGTCTGGGCACACAATCTCCCCAGAGCAGCCTGGCGCTGTGGTGCAGGGGCTAGAATGGTGGGTTCTGGAGTCACACTGCTGGGATTCAAATGCCAGCTCTACACTTACTGGCTGGGTGACCTGGGCAAGTTTCCAGACCTGTGTTCATGAATCTTGTGCAAGTAAACCTATAAGGCCATCTAATCGAAGGACAGAGTATTCTAATACGAGTACGTTGGCTGGCGCAGGGCTGTCTCGTTAAGTGCTCAATAAGTGTGGGGAGGAAGTCCGAATTCCTGTACCTGAGGTTTCCTGACATGAACAAGTTATGCACACCTGTGTCGATCAATTCCAGAGTTTTCTCCACCCACAAGCCAATGAACGAGGACATTACTGAATGATTCTCCCCTCATCATGGTTTTTTTTTTGAGGCGGGGGGGGGAGTGTCTCTCTCTGTATCTCCCACTCCCTTCTCAATGATGACACCTAACTGTTCTCTTTTCTCGAACAATACACCGAAGACCAAGAGTCATTCAACCGAAGGTATGACAGCACCTTAAAAATCGCCAGAAATTGCCACAGACATTTCCTAGCTAAACATCCTCTTCTGAAATGCAGTAAAGGTGCAGAACATAAACCTCCAGTCTGGCACCCTGTTACCTGCTCTGGCACATGCTGCCCCATCCAACACAATCTGCTCTGCTGTGTCACTAAGCTCTTGACCAGGTGAACCGGGCAGAGGTGGTGTCAGAACTGGAATCCTTAGGTCTTTGGGTTCCAAGCTCTGGCACCCTCGACAGCCTCGAGGGCAAGCGAACACCCACAAGATCCAGGCTGCAGATTCAAAGCGAGAGTTGTGACACACATCTTGTGGGGAGATAAGGAGACCAACAGCTCAAAGACAGTAGAACAAAAAACCAGCACAGAACTAACCAGCCAGTTCCTGATGAGAGAAACACAGGTTCCAAACGTACAGCCACGGGGCGTGCCCATTTATTAGGGCTGATTTTCCATTTCAGCTTCCTGGGAAAGAAAAATTCCTGTGGCTTCAATTGCTTAAAGGACAGAAGTTATCACAGATGTCGCCCGGCTCAGGGCGGGGCCGGGAAATCCATACCGCAGAAATGAAAAACAAGTAGAATGTTTCTTAGTTTCCCTTCACTCAAAACCACTGTATCTTTAATTCTATCAAACTCCATAAAAGGCACAAAATATACTTAGAAACTTGGAATTGGAGATAAATCATCCAAAAAGTGAGCAAAGGCTCTCATTCACACCATCTCTGTCCCTCCCGCTGGCCTGAAAGGCTGCCCCTGGCCACCTCCCACTTTACTTAGCCCCCCTTTCCTGCAGGATGAAGACACAGCTTTTGGTTACCACCCCCCCCACCCCCCCCACTTCTGGTTGGGCCAGGACTCCCCATACTCTGCTCTGGTTCAGTCCAGCCTGGATTCTCAACCTGCTTATTTTTCTTGTTTTCCTCAAAGCTTTCTTCACACTCCAAGTCACCTTTCCTATGGCTCGGCCCCCTGGTTAAGCCCCCCATCTCCCCTTGCACATGTGCGGGGCTTCCCGATTCACACCTGTGGACAGGGGGCAGCCGGGCGGCAGCACGTATCACAGGGTACAGTCTGCCCCGCAGCTGAGGGAAATGGTGGTCAAGCACCCTGCGGTGCACCGTTGGCCCCAGAGCCAAGGCCATTTCCTTCAGGGTGGAAAACAGGTCCATGTTACAGGACCATCCCTGTCACACCATGTCCCAGCCTTCCCTATAGCTTCTGAACAACATTTCACAGGTCTGAACAAAATCTAAGATGTTTCTGCTCTTTACTAAACATTTCTTTCACAGAAGCCTAAGCTCATCACTGTCCAAATAGCAGAACAGGGATCAGGGGCAGAAGGTTACACATTTTCCCCATCAGCAGGAACATGAATGAACTCTGCTTGGCAGCCCCGAGTGTCCAAGAGACAGTGTCCAACAGACAGTCCTCTCTGTCCCACAGGCTCAGAGTCCTGCTGACAGGTGGGGCTGGGAATGATCAGGAGGGGATCCCACTTGCTTCTCTCTAGCAAAGCGTTGGGAGGGAAACTGAGTTGAAACACACATTCCTTTTCCCTTGGGTTGTGTGGACAGTTTCCTGAGGTCCTGGTCACAGCATGGGTTAGGCCGCAGAGAGTTGCTACAGCAAACACTGTCATCGACCCATGATGAAGCTGGGCTGCTCCTCCTCCTCCTCTTCCTCCTCCGTTCCAGACGCTTCCTCGGAGCTACTGGATGGCTGCTCCTGGGACTGACCAGATCCTGTAATCACATGACATTTGATTAGAGACATACAAATTCACCCAGAGAAGCAAAGGGCACTTTAAAAATGGAGGAGCACTGAGGAAAAATTAGGATCTACAGTTTGCTCTAGAATAATGCAGAGCTTAGGGGCACCAACCCCTCACCCCCCACAGTAAAAAATCCTTGTATAACTCTTGACTCTCCCAAAATGTAACTATTAACAGCCCACTGCTGACCAGAAGCCTTATCAATAACGTAAACAGTCCATTAACATATTTTGTATGTTGGGGCGCCTGGGTGACCCAGTCGGTTGGGCGGCCGACTACAGCTCACGTCATGATCTTGGGGTCTGTGAATTCGAGCCCCACATCGGGCTCTGTGCTGACAGCTCAGAGCCTGGAGCCTGCTTCAGATTCTGTGTCTCTCTCTCTCTCTGCCCCTTCCCTGCTTGCTCTCTGTCTCTCTCTCTCAAAAGTAATAAATATTAAAAAAAAAATTAAAAAGAACATTTTGTATGTTACGTGCATTGTATACTGTATTCCTACAATAAAGTAAGCTAGAGAGAAAAAATGGTATTAAGAAAATACATTTATAGTGCTGTACTATAAAAAAAAAATCCATGTCTACATGGACCCACGCAGTTCAAACCCAGGTTGTTCAAGGGTCAGCTGTAGTTGTTCCGTACAGTAGAGCGAGGGGCCAGAGGGGGTCCTCATGTCCCATCAGTCCCTCACGCCACTTCTCGGGTATAAAGGGTCAGTCACAGAACTACTCTCCCACTGCTGGCAGGTGGATCTCATCCTTGTGAAGAAGGTCCAGGAGCATCCATAAAGAGAGCCCAACACCCCATCTAGTGGGCCTCACTGTCTTTTTTTGAAAGGCAATTCCTTTTATTTTTAAGGTATTATAAGGTATTCATTAAAAAAAAATTTTTAACATTTATTTATTTTTGAGAGACAAAGAGAGACAGAGCATGAGCAGGAAAGGGGCAGAGGAAGGGAGACACAGAATCCGAAGCAAGTTCCAGGCTCCAAGCTATCAGGTCAGAGCCTGATGTGGGGTCGAATTCACAGACCACAAGATCATGACCTGAGCCGAAGTTGGACGCTTAACCGACTGAGCCACTCAGGCGCCCCATAAGGTATTTTTTTAATTTACATCCAAGTTAGTTAGCATATAGTGCAACAATGGTTTCAGGAGTAGATTCCTTAATGCCCCTTACCCATTTAGCCCATCCCCCCCTCCCACAGCCCCTCCAGCAACCCTGTTTTTCTGCATATCTAAGAGTCTCTTATGTTTTGTCCCCCTCCCTGTTTATACATTATTTTTGCTTCTCTTCCCTTATGTTCATCTGTTTTGTATCTTAAAGTCCTCGTATGAGTGAAGTCATATGATATTTGTCTTTCTCTGACTGACTGATTTCACTTAGCATAATAGCCTCCAGTTCCATCCACGTAGTTGCAAATGGCAAGATTGCATTGTTTTTGACTGCCGAGTAATACTCCATCGTATATACAGACCACATCTTTATTCGTTAATCCATCGATGGACATTTGGGCTCTTTCCGTACTTTGGCTACTGTCCATAGTGCTGCTTATAAACATTGGGGTGCATGTGCCCCTTCGAAACAGCACACCTGTATCCCTTGGATAAATACCTAGTAGTACAATTGCTGGCTTGTAGGGTAGTTCTATTTTTAATTTTTTGAGGAACCTCCATACTGTTTTCCAGCGTGGCTGCACCAGTTTGCATTCCCACCAACAATGCAAGAGAGATCCTCTCTTCTCCACATCCTTGCCAAATGTGTCATTGCCTGAGTTGTTAATGTTAGCCATTCTGACAGGCATGAGGTGGTATCTCTTTGTGGTTTTGGTATTTATTTCCCCGATGATGAGTGACGTTGAGCACTTTTTCATGTGTCGGTTGGCCATTTGGATGTCTTCTTTGGAGAAGTGTCTATTCATGTCTTATGCCCATTTCTTCACTGGATTCTTTGTTTTTTGGATGTCGAGTTTGATAAGTTCTTTATAGATTTTGGATACTAACCCTTTATCTGATATGTAGTTTGCAAATATCTTCTCCCATTCCATCGGTTGCCTTTTAGTTTTGCCGATTGTTTCCTTTATTTCGATGAAGTCCCAATAGTTCATTTCTGCTTTTGTTTCCCTTGCTTCCGGAGACGTGTTGAGTAAGAAGTTGCTGCGGCCAAGATCAAAGAGGTTTTTGCCTGCTTTCTCCTCGAGGATTTTGATGGCTTCCTGTCTTACATTGAGGTCTCTCGTCCATTTTGAGTTTATTTTTGTGTCTGGTGTAAGAAACTGGTCTGGGTTCATTTTTCTGCATGTCGCTGTCCAGTTCTCCCAGGACCACTTGCTGAAGACACTGTCTTTATTCCATTGGATATTCTTTCCTGCTCTGTCAAAGATTAGTTGCCCATACGTCTGTGGGTCCGTTTCTGGGTTCTCTATTCTGTTCCGCTGATCTGACTGTCTGTTCTCGTGCCACTACCATACTGTCTTGATGATTACAGCTTTGTAATACAGCTTGAAGTCTGCCTTTTTATATGCCCCCCCCCCCCCGCCACCCAGGTCTGTCAACATGGCAGCACGATGTCCCCGGCCAGCCCTTTAGCATTTAACACTAGGCTGACAATGCTCTTGTGGAGGTCTCAAGCTCTCACTACAGTCCACAAAAGGATTCGAAAACTGTGTAGCAGAGGGCTCTGCCCACAACAAACAAGCCAGCTTCCCCGCTCTTCCCACAGACCCAGAAACCTTCTCTCTTGACACTCCACGTGCAGCTCTGAATTCCAGTGCTTCCCCGGCACGACTGCCGGTACCCACAGTGCAGCTGAGCTGGCCGACAGCAGAGCAGAGAGACAACTTATTCCCAACTCCTCCTCCTCTCTCCTCTCCGCGGGAGCAGGGCAGTGGGCGAGAGCTGGAACAGCAGAGCCAGAGCCACCAAAGCAGCCGGGTCCTCCAGCCCCTTGCGGGCACAGTGGGCTCCCCGGGCCCGCCTACGGACCTCCTCCCTGCAGATGCACAGGAGCTCAGCCCAGCACCCCCAGAGCACAAGGCACCCGGAGCTTTGCTACGCTGTCATCACCGCATCAGACAGAGAGCTTCAAGGCAGGAGGTGTGGGGTGCCCAGGACACAGCAGAGCCTACGATTCACCCGCACACCCTGGGACGTGACACTAAAGAGCACTCACAGCAGTGGGTGGAAACCTCTCAGATTTAATGACTTTCGGGTATTCCTCCTCCTCCTCAACCTCCTGCCAAAAGTACAAACAGTGAGCACCGAACACCTCTCCACGCAGCGCCTTGCTTCACTCTAACAGAAGTCTCTGGACAAGTCCCACGACAAGAGATCCAGTTCGCGGATGAGGAACGGGGTTCAGAGAGATTAAGTAGCTGCTACTCAACGTGTCATAATCGGTAAGACCCAGGCCTCTAACCTGACTGATTCTCTAGGACTCGGCCTACCTTGCATGCACAAGTGCACAGGGAAACTAAGGCAAAAGAATAACGAGAAGGAGACAGGAGTGAGGTGAGCACACTGAGTGGATAAGCAGGGTGTGGTCTGTGGTCTGTGACTGGAATACCAGTCAGCCTTAGAAAGGGACATCGTGACGCCTGACAGACACCACATGGAGAAAACCTGGACACGACACTAAGTGAAATAAGCCAGAGAAAAAGATACCTCTGGGTCCTCTTCTGTGAGGTGCTCAGAGTAGTCCAATTCTCAGAGACCAGAGTAAATGGGCAGTGCCAGGGGCTGGCAGGAGGGAGAAGGGGGAGTCAGGGTTGAATAGATACAGTTCCCGTTTCACAAGATGAAGAGTTCTGGAGACGGATGGCGGCACCATGAGAAAGTACTTAACACCACTGAACTGGTTAAGATGGTAAATGTTAAGGGGCGCCTGGGTGGCTTAGTTGGTTAAGCATCTGACTTAGGCGCAGGTCACGATCTCACGGTTTGTGAGTTCGAGTCCTACATTGGGTGAGCTTGGGCCCTGCTTCTCTCTCTCTGCCCCTCATGGGGTTGTCTCTCTCCACCCTCACTCACTTGCACACTCTCTCTCAAAAAAAAAAAAAAAAAAAAAAAAAAAAAAGTAAATGTTATTTCACCACAGTTAAAAAAAAAAAGACACATGCATACCATGGAAAGACGAAAAGCTAGAGATGGACTGAAAAGCCGGCTCTGAGCCCCAGATGCTACCCCTCAGCTCTCTGAGCACAGCACTCAACGGAAAAGGACGTTATTTCTATGGCACACGGCGCGATGCCTACAAGACCTTGGGCACTCGGTCTCCACCCTGAAGAACAAGGAGGCAGAGTCTTTGCCGCTTGTAGCCCCTTCCCCACATACCAGCTGGGAGTCCTGCTCTAGAACGTGGGCTCCAACGCGGAGCCCGTATTCTGTCCGTCTCAAGGCTCTCTAAGAACCACCAACCACCCCTGCACAGGTCTGAACACAGGACAGGAGCACAGGATTTGATCTTCCACTCTGATCTTTTTTTAAAAATTTCTATTTAAACCTATTTTATTTCTACTTTTTATTATTTTTTTTAAAGTTATTTTAAGAGAGTGAGCGAGAGACAGCGCACATATGCAGGAGGGACAGAGAGACAGAGAAAGAGAGAATCCCAAGCAGGCTCTGTGCTGTCAGTGTGGAGCCCAACTTGGGGCTCGATCTCACTACCTGTTGAGTTCATGACCTGAGCTGAAATCAAGAGTTAGATGCTCAACCAACTGAGCCATCCAGGTGTCCCTTCAACTCTGATCTTGAAGAAACCGTGAGACACTGACTAACCTGGGTGTTTGTGCAATGCATGTTTTGGAAGCCTGAGATGCTAACAAGAAGAGGAGGGCTCGAATCATCCCTTGTGATGGAAAAACCCCTGAAAATGTGGTACCTCACCTAATAGTAAACACAACTGATTCCTATGTGTGGGAAACATGTCAGGGCCTAGAAGCGTTGCTCTCAAAGAGGAGAAACCTAGGAGTCTGGTG